TAAAATATTATAATTACAATATCAATTAATATTATAAATTTATAATATAATATATTATTATATAATTAATTTTTTATTTAAAATTTTTTCACAATATTATATATACTTATTTAATACTTTTTTTAATATCAATTTATAATTATAAACTTATAATTTTATAAAATAATATAATTATATTATTGTCAAAAAATATATATTGGCAAAAGATCACTAAAAAAAGTTAGTACTACTAATTTAATTAATTAGGACAGTTACATGTTCCCTAAATAATCAATGCGCCATAAAATTTCCTTTTATAATAGAATAAAATAATTTAGATATATGCTATTTTTCAACATCAAAAGAATAACAATTGTTCCATGCTGTGTTTGTTTCCTAGCACCTTTGGTGTAATTGGACAAAACCCTAATTCATATTTTCTTTTTCTTCCTTTTTTTTTTCTTTTAAAGCTTGGGAATCGTGGGTTAATAGAATAATTATTTCATTTTTTATTTATTTAGATCCCAAATGGAGCTTGGGATAAGTATAAGGTAGATTCTACAAATTTTGAGATTTTAAGTTTAAATGAACTATGTGAAACTATATCATGCAGTGGTTCAATAAAAAAAGCTATTATAAATTTAAAAATTTTAAAAAATAAAGATACCCAAATTAAGATTTAGGAAAAATAATGTTAAGGCCCTGCCCTTAATCTTTTTTTAGATAAAGAACATGCTTTAAACTTGAGAAAATGCTTCAAACTTAAGTTTGAAAAAATAGAAGGTCCTACCCTAGCATAGTGCTGCTAATAGTAATGTTTATGTCATATTGTCATTACAGTGTAATAAATATAAATTTAAATTGTAATTTATACACTTGAAGCGGGAAAAATCACACTTGAAAGTTTAGGTATTATTTGGTATCAGTTATAAATCTTGATTTCTATTTTTATTTTCAAAATTTTAGAAGGGATATAATAACAAAATTTCTATTTTCATGTTTTGTCAACCAAATTTGGGTTTTAATTCTCATTATGAAGGAATAGAATCTTATGTGATGTACACTAAATCTGGTAAACCACTTTTTTTTTTTCTTTAAACATGAGAAAATTTGAGGAATAAGAGATTTTTATCAAATTATTAAGAGTTAAATTCTTAACCAATTAACTTTAAATACTAAAACTTCTGAATGAATTGTGGAACCTACATGCTCAGTTCAACCTCATAAATCACTTAATAAATATATCTAAAACTTTAATAATAATTAAATTTTAAATTATAATATTATCATATTATACTTTCTCATTTCTTACCTCAAATTTTATATGTAAAAAAAAAATTTATATATATATATATTATGTGATGTGACGACAGTCGTGGTGTAATTTGACTCTGTATGTGTTAGAAAGGACAAACTGAAATCCCCATGTTTCTTGACTAGACATAAGCAATTTTTTTTTTTTGTCTGCACAAAATTACAAATGTATATTAATATTATAATTGTGTATAATTTATTTAATTTTATTAATTTATAATTAATTATTGAGTAGCACCTGGTCTCACGACTCAACAAGTTTAGATCGACTTATAAAGTGCATCCTCCTAACTCGAGAATTGGGTTCGAATCCCTCTTCCCTTATATTTATAACCTTGTTAAAAAAAATTTAATT